GGAGAGGAGAGGAGAGGAGAGGAGAGGAGAGGAGAGGAGAGGAGAGGAGAGGAAGAAAATGGAGAGATTTGGAGTCACTATACATTTCCAGGACGGACACAGTGGAAACTAGTTCCTTTGGCAGCACTTGAACCCTGACCTATCCATCATTCCTCCATATCCCCTGCCACCTTCACATTCCCTGAGATCTAAGTCATCTGAAACTTCTCAGTCACACAAGTCTTCCTTTAGTAATTCTCATGGGAGTCAAGGTCCTGAAAACCATCCTTACAGTGGAACTCTTGGCTCTAAGAAATCCTGAGATGACACCCTATGAAAAAAATCCTCTTTTGATACATTGAAGGTCATCTTTCTCCACCATGGACCTTGATTCCAAGAGTGGTTTCCCCTGGATGAGCTCCAAGAACAGATGTAAATTTCAGAGACAAACGGGTACATCCCATGCTACCAGTGTGGGGCCTGGCAATGAGCTGACAACTTAAATAGCATCCCTTACCCATGAGCCAAGCCAGCTGGTCTGTTTTACTGGTTGGGACTATGCCTTAGAAATGTGCTTATGTTTTATTTTTCTGGTATGTTGCAATTCACCCCTTTGCTGCTATGGGATATTCAGGAACACAGGAGGCTAATGATGCTTCATGATATGACATCTGTGTGAGATGGGGAAAGGCTCAGACTCAGATCCTAACTATGTCATCCTGAAGGTAGCCACACACTGTCCCAGGTCTCTCTTTCGTAGGGCTTTCCCTCTGCATAGTTCACAACTTAAAAAGACAGAGCACACCACCATAGTTAGTAACTTAATAAATCCTACCATGTAGCTATGCGTAACTAAAAATTACATGCAAAATAAGGCCCAGCCCTGATCTGAAGACTGATATCCCTGTTGAGTCCAGAAGAGCATGTGAAAAACAGATACATCTATTTTAAACTTATCCACACAGCATGATGAAGTCAGCTTCCAGCTAAGTTAAAAAGAAAATGGCAATGAGTTCAATCTTTACCTTTCTTATTAGCCTTATTCGTCCACCAAAGCACAGGAAGAATCAAATCTAAAGACCAATCTTGTATGCAAGGACAAAGAGAGAATGTTCTTGCAACTCTTTCAGGCCAAAATGTTCCTGCTCAAAGAGAAACTGCTTGCAACAGCTATCATAGAGAGAAAGGTAACTTCCAGGCCCAGTTATCCTCTTACCTTATCAACACAATGACTACCCTTAACCTAAATTGAAAGAAACAGAGGTAACTGTTTGTGAAGGGCAGAGCACATACCAGAGTTTATATGCTTAGCATCATTTAATTCACCCAAAAAGACTCTTATCTGAGTGGTCATACAGAATTATCATACAGATTCGATGACATTGAGTCTCAGGAGTGAAAGGCACCTGCCTACAGCCATACCGTAGTATCAGCAGAAGAGTCAGATCAGCTTTGCATGACTCTGACTCCTGCACTCCTCAGAGTCACTCCATGTGTCGTGAAATAGCATCAAGTCTCATTTGAGTGAGAGATGCTCAAGGCACAAGGTACAGAGTTGAAGAAAAGCCTTTGTGTAGCTAGGTGACAGGAAACTTTCACACTTTGGAGGTACTGCTAAGAGGTTAAACTCCTCCCCTTCATAGCAGCTCTAAGCCACAGGCCCCTTATCCAACTGCAAGGAAAACAATAGACAATGAAGGAAACCTCCAGAGCTCTGATAAATCCCTGGTGTAATCTAAACCCACTGTCTATCCTTAAATGGAAAATAAAAAAACCCAGACTCGAAAGGCTATACTCTATGTTCTTCCATGTCGATGACCTTCTTGGAAAAAAAAAAAAAAAACTATGATGCAAGTATAATCCACCTATTAGCAGTATGGAGGCTGAAAGGTGAAAGAGGAGGTGACTGTAAAAGGGTTTGAGACATATTTTTAAAGGTATAATAGAAATGTTTTCTTTCCTAATTATGGTAGACATCCCATTACCATCCATTTGTCAAAATTCACTGAATTATACATCAAAACTCAGCACGCTTTACACATACAAAGTATACATCAGTAACCCTTAAGCTTGTGTGTACACAGGAAGCTGAAGTGACAGCTTAATCAATAAGTGCTTAACATGCAACCATGAGGATCTCAGTTTGATTCCCAGCACCCATGTTGAAAGCTAAGTGTGGTGATTCACACAATCATAATCCCGAAGATCCCTAGGGCTCGCTGGCCAGCCAGCCTAGCCTAATGTGCAAATCCTAGTCCCAGTGGGAGACCCTGCCTCAAATAATAAACTGAACAGCCCCTGATGAACAAAACCCAAAGATCTCTAGCCTCCACATGTAAGCACAGACATATCTACACGCCTGCAAGCTCCTGTGCATACAAGGACATCTAAAGTAAAAAAAAAAAAATCTAAGATTGTGCTTATATATACAAATATGTGTTTCAAACAGACAATAGTTGATAAATCTTGGGCTAAGATTTCTTAGTATAGCTGCAGTGCATAAACCCGTGAGTCCAAACACCTCCATCACTCAACCTTCCCAGTGCGGAGATTTTTTTCTGCAGGCAGCCACTGTAAGCTGACACACCATGGCCAGGGAGGGTCTGGAGGGAATTTTAAGGCAAACACTTCTGTAGCAGTTCGAGTGAGAAGCTGGTTGTGAGGGTTATCACAACCTCCTTCCTGCCTCCTTTCCAGAATTTTCAGAGGTCATTCTATGTACTTAATAGAAACACTCATCTGGAAAATTGCCTTAAGCCAGATTAAATACGATGTCACTGTTTTTTAACCTGTATTTCATATAGCATGTGTGTCTTTATCTTCATATCCCATTGCAATTTGAAGGACACACCTGTCTCTATGCTGAGCCCTGAACAGATAGGGGACATGGAATTTTGCTTAAAATACCAACCAGTATAGCTTCCGGTTGTCTAAAATAGCTTGGCATGTATTTTAAATGGGAATTTGATGAGAATAAATACACTAGTCTAGTTTCTCTATTCCTCAACTGGAGTTATATATTCCCACATACATCTTCTTTGGTGAAGGTGTTTCTCTTTATAATTCGGCCTCTTAGTCCCTTTGTTTTCTATCCAACACATGTTATTTGAGAAGAGTTCAGACCCATTGTTGATAGCTCAGTTCTGAAAGGAACATAAGCCACACAAATATGAACTTCATTGAAGTTAATCAGGTCAGTCATGCAAATTAATAAGCCCATGAGGTCATACCCCTGAAAATAAAGGGGCAGACACAGATGGTAAAAGCTGCCAGAAAAAAAAAATGGGTTTCAAAGGGAAATAAACACTAAAAACCCATCCAACTTAAGGATCTTCTAAAAGTTATTGATATTTTCTGCTGTGTGTGAACTTCTGACCTTAAATGTTTAGAAGGCATTCTTCATACCCTGTAGCAGGATATAGTCACTTTATTAAGTTGGGTGTTTGTCTGTCTCTATCTTTTTTAAATTAAAAATGGTAAATAAAGTGAAATTCTTTAGTTCTGTTCACTCTTTAATAGTTTATTTTTAAAAGTAGGAAGACAGAATTTAAAGATTAGAATTTGAACATCAATGGAAAAATAGCCAAGATCATATGACAGAGTCATCCAAAGCCATCAGAGCATCTGCACCTAGCATGCTCTCAAGAGGTGCCCTGATTAAGCTGATACTACAAGGGGCCTTTCTATATTGTCTTCATATATAAATTTTTACATATAAAACAATTTCACTTTCTTGCAAATTCCAGGCTTAAAGAGAGAAACTATATGAAACAACTGGTACAACTTACTCCACGATTTTTATTATATATCTAGAAATGCTACCAGTGACATCACTGACAATTGTGTTTCTTTTACAGTCTTGTAATTACATAAACCAAAATTCCATGATAAGAAGGGGGAAAGTTAATTGATTTTATATCTGTCACATAAAAAAACTAGTTAATGTCTAAGAAAAATACATAAGCAGTAGAGAAAAGTGATTGGTTGTTAAGTCTGCTTCTAATCTTATGGCTGCCTTGGGTCCTAAATTATGAGGTAAAGGGTTCTACTGAGTTATGTAGGTGAAGAATGAGAGAAAAGAAATGCCAAGCATATCATCTGAAAACCCCTCCAGGACTGATTTGCACTGTACAACTTAATGTACAATAGGTCCATTCTCCAGAAAATTCAAAACATCTAACAGATATCATTTAAGATGCCAAATTTACCTATCTGGTATACACAAAGCAGGTTCCAGGAGCCATGAAGAAAATACAGTTAAATATTTGATCTCATGTTCACCTTCTGATGTTGATCTACCTAATTAAGCCCCAGTGTCCTTTGCACAATGGACAATTCAATGGTTCTATGTGATGGGTGACTGGTCACCATGCAAATTTTCCAAGAGAAAGAATTCCCAGAATTCATACTGAATTCCCCTTAAGTTCTTTAACTTCTAGACTTCACTTTACTAGAAACTTCATTAGACTCATAGCACCCGTAGCCTCTGATAACTTTGCCTGGAAAGACCTTATTTCAGTTCTTAAATCTACCCAGAGGATGATGGTTCCGAAGAGAAATCAAATTGAGACAAATAGCCTAGGTTTCTATTGTGATAGAACTATCTCTATTTACATCATGTCTAAAGAAACACACTCCTAGACTTCCCTGCAGATGTCTAAACATGTGGAAAAGACAATTTCCAACAAACTTTCCATTCCTCCTTCACCCTAACACCTACTCAGGTTGCTTGGGCTTCTGTAAGAAGACAAGATCATAGTTCAGAAGATAACCATCGTTGTAGACATAAAGTTTTTGGTCAAAGGGATGATAATTAATGCTCTGAATTCTTTCTTGCATTTTTCTCATTGTGATGGCTAGATTGCCTTCCCTCTGTGTGTTTGTGTCATAATAGTAAAAGATCTCTTCTGTTTTGGTGTTCAAAGTACGAGTAGCATAAAGAACTCCACATACTATGAAGGCATTAGAAACAGATGGCTTATACTGCTTGGTAACCCAAGTGCTTATCACCTCAAGACTGGTATCATTGAGTTTACTAATCACTATGTTACCAGTGCTGGCCTCGGTTGCATAAATTGCCCACAGTGCTTGCTCATCCACGGCAAGGTCAATGTCTTGCCAATTTACATTAGCGTATGAAAAGCGATTATTGTAGGCAGCCAGAGGGAGGGGCCGATTCACAGTGACTTGATTGCTAGTTAGGTTAATTTTGGCAATGTTCCCTCCATTGTACCAATTCACATACAGGTTGTTGTTGAATGCTACTGTACCACCCCCTTGGCCATAAACAATCCGATAGGCTCGGAACTGTGAATAGATTAACAAATTATCCAGTGAGTCATAAAGTCTGTAATACTCTAGAGTCCTTGCATCTGTATTCAAAGGTGCTACCCAGTACAGGGTTCTCTCTGGATGCTGAGGAGAGTAATCTCGGCCCCAGGCACCATATTTATAACTAAACCCTTGCCAGTTGAGCTGAATCACAGAAGGAGCACTGATGTTCACCACGCCACCATGACTACAGCTTCCTAGAAAAGAAGAAAAGAAAAAGGATTCTTAGAGAAATCAAGCAATTAAACAGTTTAGTATCCTAAGAACCAAAATCAACTCTCAAAATTTTTTCCCATCATGGTTCAGTCACAGTCCTTTTCTAGAGAAGAGCCACCCTTTGTTTCTGTCTCAGTGTGAACCCACTGTCAGAGCTAGAGATCTGTGTGAGTAGCATGAAACCCGCCTCGTGTTTTCATCAGTGGGAAATTGGAAAATGGATATAATAGAACCCCATAAAGCTACATTTTAGAGTTTGAGATCCCAGAAATAAAAGGGGAGAGTTAATAGTGTGTACATTTTCTTCTCCCAGATGGCATTTTTCAAGTATTTTAATTTTTTGTAGCAAAATGAGAGAGTAATATCATTCTAGGAACACATTCTTTCCTCATAAAGCCAAAGGTGCTACTTACCAGGGTCAGCCCCAGGAAAAGCTATGATTAATACAAGATAGTATTAGGGGGAGTCCTCCTGCCTTTCCTGGGACCTCAGATGTATATTCTCAGTAGGTACCAGGACAACTCTAAGCAAATCATAGAAGAAGAAGAAGAAGAAGAAGAAGAAGAAGAAGAAGAAGGAGGAGGAGGAGGAGGAGGAGGAGGAGGAGGAGGAAGAAGGTGAGGGAGATGCAGAGGGAGAGGGGAAGAGGAAGTTTTAAATACAGCATCTGATAGGTCCAGACAGATAGTCCTGTGAGAGTGGGGTTTCAACCTTGAAAAGCTACAAAGTCATTTAGTAATGGACTTGCCTAATCTGTGCCCAGCACCCATGCCATGTAAGTCATTTGCTGACCATCTTTCCTCAGAGCTTTAGATGAGCCCTGCTCTTCAGAACCCATGTGCTACTGTCCCATAGAATGGCAAGCATTTCATCTTTCCCATTCTGACACAGCCATTGTCAACATGTATACAATCGCATGGGACCAGATGCACTGGTCCATTGAATCTTCATTCCACGAAACCCATGCACAAATGACCCCAACTGGGCAACATGCCCTTTGGTTATATACTCTCCAAAATACCTGCCAACCAGGTGTATATATATATATATATATATATATATATATATATATATATATATATGCTACTTTATTGAATAACAAAGAAAAATCTAATTTTAAATACATTTTGAGGTAATTTTTCCTTGTTTGCTGCTCAGATTATGGAGGGAGAAGGAAGGAAGGAAGGAAGGAAGGAAGGAAGGAAGGAAGGAAGGAAGGAAGGAAGAATGAGAAAGGAAAGAGCAGAACATGAACATTATATCTGGCTCCAAGTGCTAAGGAGGAATCACTGAGCCTTGGAGGGCACAGGCATGAACTAGAACCAAAAGCAGTGCTCCACTGAACTGCCTGAGACTGGCACTGGGAAGTAAGGGGAACCAAGTGACTGCCTGGATCCGAGAGGGAAAGACCCATTCCTCCTCCTTGCTAAATGCTTCCCTCTCTCCCCTCCTTACTCAAGGACTGCTGGGAGGTGAAACCATTAATAGAAATCCTGCTTTTATTTTTCCAATCTGCTGGGACTTTTCAGTCCCAGAATTAAATACATGCTCCTTAAATGCTCTCATAAATCCACAGTTGGTGGGAAAGCCAGCCAACCATACAACAGGTAGAGAAATAAAACCACACTGTACCCAACCTCAAATAATTTTGCATATCATTAAGCAGAACACAGTCACCGGTTTATTTTAATAATGCATGCACCATTTCATAAATAAAAAAGCAACGTGTGTTCAGCCAAGAGACTGCTCTCTGCTAAAGAAATAATAAATAAAATTATAAATTATTATTTCTTCCCCTAAAAGTGATCCCTCAGATGAATGCTTGTTTGCCTTTGTTTATGAAACAATGCATGAATTATTAAAATAAAGTTAGCAGTGTGTTCAGTTTAAGGATAACAAAAACTGTTCCTGTTTCCATATGCTAAAGCTGGATTTTCTGGTTAAAATACCAAGCAGAGCGTATTTATGCAACTACATTTCACTGCGAGGAAATGAAAGTCACTTCTCTTCTTTCAGGTTGGAAGACTTAAGGGTTGCTTGCTTCATTGAACCTGACTTTCCTGGAAAGAAAATATCCCAAGCCAACAGTAACACAATATTTCAGAAAAGTTGATGATGCATATAACTTATCCTCATATTATTAGCAGTTTAAAGATAGACCGTTCTGTCTCCAATGTAAAATATTTTGATATGAAGGAACCAAAATCCACTATTAATTCTGCTAAAATTACAGCAATGGTTCCATCGTTAAAACAATAATTCTACTTCAAATACAGCACTAATAGTGTTCCTACTGATATGATAATAATAAAAGTCTATCATTTCTTATGTTGACCAGAAATTTTAACTGTACCTGTTACAAAGATTAAACTTCAATTTTTTCCCTCATCTCCCCATTCCTAAATACTCGTCTAATATGTTTGGTTACTTTTCTTCTGTCTTCTACCCCCTTGGGATATTTTTAGTGCTCTGGATCTTGTGAAAAGGAAGTAGAAATAGGAACTGAAGGGGAGAAAGTGTTATTGTCAGAACTGTGGCTGTGGCTTCAGCAGTGACAAGTCAGGGGGACAAACTGTTGCTTCCTCAATGGCCAGAAACAAACCATTAAAATATATATATATATATTCAAACTGACGACCATCTTGGCACCAACTCTCAGCAGAGTGCCCCCTCCTTCTTTATTTGGGTCTTGCACACAAGCCTGTATCCTAAGCCTACATCCTAGCCTCCTCTTTATTCCACACCCTTTTCTACCCCTGCCTTCATGTCAAGATCCTAGATATAGTCCACTCCCTTAATTGCCCATTTCCCATCCCAACTTCATCAGGACCCTTTGGCAACAATCAATTGTCCAGCCCATGATCCAAGAACTATCAAGGGCTAGTGTATCATTTTGCATGTGCTGGTGGAAAAGAGTAAACCAGCAAACGTTCAGGATCCAGGGCATCCTTCCAGCTGCTCTATGAGCAAGGAAGCAAAGCTAACTAAGAGCTAATGAGGTAGATTCCTTTTTGGACCTGCCTTGTCATCCAGAAACCGCAATGACACCCCCTTTGTTAGAGCATTTATGTACACACACACACAAGCCTGGCACAGAGAAGGTGTTACCAGACAGGCTCCAGTCTAAATCCTGACTCCACCCTTTAGTAACTGTATATTATGGACCAAGTTGCTTAACGGTCTCAGACTCAGTTTTCTTAAGTCAAATAGGCAATGCCTACCCTGCAAGACTGTTAGGAAGAACAGAGATGAGGCTTGTAAATGTGACTCACTCTATTATAACCACCTTCGTTATAGCCACATCGTAATATAGATTCTGGTTACACGACTATTTCCTAGATAATGGCTTGTAGGTGTTTCTTCATCCCTTCTGGTAGTCCTAGCAAATGTAAGAGGCCTACCACACAAAGGAATCCAAGAATAAGAGACTAATCTAATCATTAAACCCAACCTGTCATTTATAAAACACTAGACATCCACCCTGCTACACATCTGATGTATTTACATAACGTGAAGCAAAGACTTCTTTATGCAAGGTATTCTCTTCATCAGGCAATCCACTAGCTCCTGCTCTGGTATTCTCATGGTCCTGGGCCTTGAAATATGACTAGGCAAACTTTTTAAACTAACAGAGTGGATTTTCAAAGCCAAACATAGTATGCCTACAGAGAATGCTTAATTACAGGTCTGTCAGTGCAGAGCCTCACCTGCTCAACTACGCTATCTATGCACTAAGACTAGGGAAAATATGATTAACTTGTAAGAATTAGTCGATGAAGTCAGGTGTGGTGGCTCACACTTTTAAGCCTTAAGATATAGGCTTGGCATGAATTGAATGTCAGGCCAACATAGGCTACAGAGTGAAATCCTTTCTCAAAAAATTCCAAAACAACCAAAGATTAAGAGAGCAAAATGGTTATAATTGTAAGGAAACTGATAATAAATTGATTCTTAATCATTGGATGTACGCCCAACACTCCACATCATCTCTAAGCTTGGGAATTTAGCATGCCCCCTTCTAGTGTCTTCTACATCCCACCCAGTCACCCCCCTCCATTTGCTTATGTGTCTTCTGTATACCTACAAAGCCAAAGGTCCTAATATAACAAAATGGCCCCTGAGAATTCTCACCATAGTTTTTTTCTATATGATGCTGTCATTTAGATTCAGGGTTAAAAATAGACTGGAGTCAGTTGTTTGGAGGAGGTGTTCATAAATATAAGAGCAATTAAAGTTCTGTAAAAATGAAGCAGGAAAAGATGTTTTTGCAGCAACACACACACGCAGGCACATACACATACCTCTCATACATACATATATATATATATATATACACACACACATATGCACACATATACACACACATATACCACACATCACACAAACCTCACACATGCATATATATACACACACATATGTACACACACCCCACCATACACACACACAGGCACACTGCATGCATTGCATTTTATTACAACTGACATACATTGGATCTAAGTTTAAGCTGATCACTAGGTTAGCCCACTACAGCTGCAAGGGAGCCCAGAGAGTACAGAGTTATTTTAGAGCTGAGACTCCTGCGTACAGTCTTCTGTTGTTGTTGTTGTTGCTCTATGCAACTCTGCAGAAAAGAAAAAAAAACAGACAGGCCAGATTTTAAAGTCCCATAATAGTGAGGAACTTTAATTAAAGTCTCCACAGGCTCATGACTTTGTGGTGCCTGGGGAATTTTCCAATTCTGCATTATCAACCAATCCAAACATGAAGAGAGCAAGTGAAAGAAATTGATTTAAAAACATGACAAAATTCAGCTTAATATAAACATCATAAATATAATATGAACAAAGCTGGAGAAGGGCCAAGTGCCTTGGCAGGGGTCCAGGTGCAGCCAAGGTTGTGCAAAAGTGAGTGGAAAGCTGGGTTCAGTTTGCTTAAACAACACAGCTGGCCTGAAATAGTTTACAGAAGTCTAAATGTAAAGGCCCAAGGGAAGGTTCTGAAAATATTTCTAAGGAAACTAACTCAAAAGGCCCATTTGCTTTCTTTCCTAAATACTAAGCAATGGATTTTTCTCCCTCAATGCCACCCTTATGTGATGGACACCTGACCAGGGACCTAATACGTGTTACAGCATGAACTCTGTCACTGAGTGCAGGTGTGCTTTCAAGAAAAGCTGCATCCCTGAGACTCAAGCCTCTCCACTGAGATACCAGAGAACTAAGTTAGATGACCCCGATTACTCCTTCCTGCTTTAAAATGCCCTCAGTTCCAGAAACGAGTGCCAGGAAAATCTATTGCAAGAGAGGTATTTGCTGGGGCCTGCCTGCTCGTCTTTATCAGAGGTCATGACGCTGCTTTGACTCCTGCCTTAAAGAGCTGTCATGGTCTGACAGAACCAGCTCCCACTTCTGACATGTTTATAACACTGATCCCAGACCAATTCAGCTTTAGTTTGTCTCTGGAGACAGAACATGGTCCTCACCTAAACGTCCTCTGTAAGTCAGATTAGAACAGACCTCTAACAACAATTAGACAGGCATGTCCACTGAACAAGACCTAAAGGCTTAAAACTATAGTCCTAGCTGATTGAAGCCTTAAAGAAATGAGTTACATTGGCAAGATCCAGAAATATACAGTCCAAAGGAAAGGGCTTATGAGAATTGGAATTCATAAACACAACAAAGGTTTCACAATTTGATGGCAAGCAATAGTTCCCATTCAGTCTGGAATGCTCAAGACCCTGAGAGAACTTCATTTGGTATGGTCTTTCTAAGGGATGGGGCTGAAGGATGTTAGTGATATCCTGGAGGAAGCCACTTCAGTATACCAGGATTTAGCCCTTTCTCTCTTCACAGACAGATTTTCACTTCAATTATCATGATTACTAATAATATTCATTGCCGGTGTGTGGATGCTGATTACAGAGCCCCGAGCTTCCCAAGCACTGTCTCATTAATCCCCATAGCAACCCTATAAGGTGAGCACAATTATTCTCCCATTTCACAAATAAGATAAAGGATCTTTTCTCTGCAGCCACATAGCTGGTAAAGTTAAGAATTCCAAAGCTATTCTCTCTCAGCCGCCACTTCACTGTTTCCATTCACTGGTGAATTTAAGTACCTGGCTGCCCCACCCGCACCCCTTCCCACACACATATTGTTCGGGACTTAACCTGGGGAATATGAGGGAGAATGAGATCCTATCCTGTCCTGCTTGATGGGTAGCAAGGCATGCCCTTAGCATGAAAGACCACAATCCCTTTAGTTCTCAGTGACTTCCGGGACTCAGAATGCAGCAGATACCCAGCATGCACATCAGAGGTGTGTGAAGTGCAGATGAGAGTGAAAGAGAGGGCAAAAAGAGAGGAAAAGCAGAACAACAAAGGCACACACCCAACCTATGCCTGACTGAGCCAATCAGCTCTTACCATCTACCAGAAGGCAATGCTACATAAAGATCCGAGATGCTCTAGCATCCCCAGTCCCATAGCTCTTCTCTCTTTAGACACAGCCTTCTTGCTAGGCCAGTGCAAAAGGTATATGTGTAGCTAGTGGGCTTTGTTTACAAAAACTTCGCTGTGCTCTTCCTCAAGGAAACCCAGAATATTGAAGATAGAACCAGTTGAAAGTGGAAGAATTTAAAGTGTGGAAGAATAAACTCAGAACTGCAAAAATGCTCTGCTATCTCCATCACTTCAATCCCACCCCACCCCCAAATCAAGGCTCATTATGGGGGGTCTTACATGGAAAAAACAGATACAGAGCAGGCTTACCAGGAGCAGGAGGAGGGGGCGTGGCAGGCACAAGGCCACTTTTAGAGTCTTCGCATTCTTTCAGCTTGGTCTTCAGAGCCGAGATTTGCCGGCGAATGCTCAGGACATTGTTTTTGTCTAGCGTCTCCAGCTTCTCTACCAGGAGAGTCATATTCCTTATCTAAAGAAATAAAAATTCAGAGTGACTTTATATTATTGTGCAATTTCTTTCATAAACATTCTGGGGCTGAATTTGTCATTTAGTGAAACGTTGCTACAGAATACACCAGAGATTCTTCTGAATGGTTTCATTTGGAAGAATACATTTTATGGTTTAGACTGAACGCCTGTCACATCTCAGGCAATGTGTGTGACAAGAAGAAAATGGCAAAGATTTTAACAGCTTTAATAATAGAGCACAAGTTCACTCCAGGCATTCAGAAATGTCCATTAAAGTTCATTTCTAGTAACCTTCCCCTATAAACTCGTGTTTACTCATGTTGTATTATAATTAAGTTTCTAATGAATGGTGAAGGCTGGAAAAAAACATAAATTCTAAAACATGTAACTAGAATTCTCAATTATAGCCTGTGTCATGACTGTGCTGGTAAATGCTGCTTGATATAAATTACCCAACCATAATATTAATATGATAATCTTATCCATAGATCTTTAAAGACTTTGCTAAAACATATTCACAAGAAATATTTTTTGGCTTAATTCCTAAATGCTTTTATTTTTTTTCAGTTTGTTAGTTGAGAATTTTGCACAATATATTTTTATCATATTCTTTCCCTTCCCCCAACTCCTCCCAGATCCTCCCCCTCCACATTCATTCAACATCATGCTCTTTCTCTTTCCTAAAGAACAAAAACAAAGCACGAAAGCCAACCAAAAACATGGAGTCCAATTTGTGTTGTCAATCTACTCCTGAACACAGGGTTACTCTGCAGCATGGTTAATAACCCAGCATCATTCAATTAAAGAAAACTAATTTAGTAGCTATCATTTACCAGTGACTTCTTGGGTAAGGGTGGGACTTTGTGTCCATTTCCCCTCTTTCATGCTCAGATTTTCGTCTTCCTTGAGCTTGCACACACTGTATGCATGCCATCAGCCTCTGTGAGTTTGTTGTGTATCTGCTCTCTTGTACATGGAGAATTTTATTTTCTTAAAATAGTCCACCACCTCTGGCTCTTATCTTTCAGCCTCCTCTTTCTGCATAGGTCCCTGAGCATTGAGGATGGTGTGATAACCAGATCCCATTCAGAACTGAATACTCCAGAGTCTTTCAATTTCTGCACATTGTGCAGCTGTCAGTCTCTATGTTAATTACCGTCTATTTCAAGAAGAAGCTTCTCTGCTGAGTGTTGAGTGATACACTGATCTATGGGTATAGCAGTATGCCATCAAGAGCTGTTTTATTGCTATGCTGGACAAATCACCATCCCACATTTCAAGCTGTACTACAGAGCCATAGTAATAAAAAAAAAGGCACTATGGCACTGGCATTAAAAACAGACACATGGATCAATGTAATAGAATTGAGGATGAGATATAACTCCACACACCATCGGACACCTGACTTTTGACAAAAAGGCAGAAAACACACACTGAAGAAAAGACAGCATCTTCAAACAATTGCGCTGGTCAAACTGGATTGCTGCATGTGGAAGACTAGAAATTGATTCATATCTATTACCTTGTACAAAACAACTCCAAGCAGATCTACATAAGGCCTGATACACAGGAAAATTCAGTGTGTGGAGAATAATTCTAAGAGAAATAGGTGGTCATCCAAAAAGGGAAGATACCTGCAATCAGGTAAACTGTGTTTCTAGTCTCATGAGGATAAATCCAAGACAGAGAAGATGCCTGACTTAGCATGGCTAAAGGCAAGACTATAAGATTTATGGTACCACTTTCAGAAAGATCATTTAGTTCTAGGGCAGAATTCTTGGTGTCCAACATCTGCTTCTCAGTCAACATGTTCCCAATACACTTACACCTAACTTAATATGTAAGTACAGGCAGTCATCCAAAACAGAACACGGATGGACCTCATGGTCCTGAGACAGTAGCAGAATTAGGGTTTAGGAAAGAGATATCCCATCCAGGTCATAGCACTTGTTCAGTCCCTGAGTGGAATTATTTTATTGTTTGTTGGTTTGTTTGTTTGTTTGTTTTGAGACAGAGTTTTTCTGTGTAACAACCCTAGCTATCCTGGAACTCTCTTTGTAGGTCAAGCTGGCCTTGAACTCACAGAGATCCACCTTCCTCTGCCCGCACCCCCGCCAAGTGCTGGAATTAAAGGCATGTGCCACAACTCCCAGCCCCAAAATTCATTATTGATATCCTAAGACATCAATCATTCCTTACCTCTACTTCAAGTATGTCAATAATATCTGTACTTCCAACAAAATTCTCCTTCAGCTGTATGACCAGTTTATGCATCTCCTTCACTTCCAGTTTGATCAACTCAAAGTCCAGTTCTGTGTAAGAAATGCTGTCCTTCTCCATGACCTCCACTCGGACCGTCAGGTTCAGGAGCTTCTTCTCATACACATTTATTAGCTGGACATACTCCTTCACCTAGAGGAGAAACAAAAAGCTTATGTCAACTCACAGAGTGATATCAAGTAGATACACTTCCTCTGCTATGAAAGATGTGAAGATTATTTGATCCTTGTCAATCACTGCAGAGGAATGCATCTTTTATCCAAATGCAAAGTAAAATACTATATTACCGAGGCTTTGGTCTCACTTACGTATACTGAAAATAATCTGTATGTATATTGTAATCTCCATTTTAAAGCCTGAGAATGTTAGATCACTAGACTGAACTGGTTGGGATCATCTCTCTTCTCAGTTCATTTGCTCGAAATCAGAGTTTCTCAGCTATTGACATTTCAAGCAAGTCTCCTTCTTGTGGGGTGCTATACAGTGCATTGTAGGATATTCCATAGCTCCCAGTTATGACAATCAAAAAGTATCTCAAGACATTATTAAATGTACTCTGGGGACAATCACTACCTCTACCAGCCTTTAGTTTAGAGTCATTGCTCTCTCTAATCTCAGTATTTTCTAGAAGAGAAGAAATGCACTGAGTAGAATCATTTCCTTGTGAATCATGTGCCAAAAATTTTGAGCCCCTCTGCCTTTTACAAAGAAGCATAACAACCTAACTTTCTATAGAGTTTGTGAGTGTAGGCACAACTGCAGAATGCACATTTCATTAAGTGAGCTCACATTTGTTCCAAGAACTGATTATTGCAATCAGACCTTTAAATTACACATTTGTTGCATACATTTGAATGTCTGATCATTAAGTTAAGGTTCCAAAAATTCCCTTGGTGGTTGAGTGTATAATTGGAATCTCCAAAAGGATATTTCAATAAACAGTCAGGGACACTTTCTTGTATGTGATCTCTAAAAGAAATGTCATGGCTTTTTCAAAGACCTGCTCATTAAAAAGTTGCTGCTTTCAGTTTCTTTTTTAAAATGTGAGCATAAGTAATACTTCTCCCCAAACTGCACTTACGTCAAGTGCCTGGATGAATTCAGACAGATGTTGACCCGTGGTCTCTCTAATGACAAAGGCAGCCCTAACGCCTGTCATTGTTATCCTTCCACTTAACCCCACCATGAAAATTAGAATAGACTTATAGGCCACAAACCTTCAGAGCTAGGACCTCAGGAAAAGAGGTGTCTAATGAACATTGGAATTGCAGCTCTTGGCACAACTACTGTATCTCCTCAGGCAAGTGATGTTCGCTGCCATCAGATGCCCCATTACTCAGAGGCTGATAGGAATCATGATATTTTTGTGTATACAGGTATTTTTTTTAAAGTGTGGGAGGTGCATATAACAAAGAAGGTCTCCTGCACGCCCTGCCAAATAAACACAGACCTAAGATATTCAGGTTTCAACTTCTTTTTTAAAAAAAAACGGTCACAAAACCTTGCCTGTGGTGAAAACATAATAATGTACCAATCCATTGCAGAAATGGAAGTTTGAGAAATGAGTGTGCTTGGTGGCATTTGGCCTTGCCAGCCCTTGGAACAAATGAAACAGCCTCAGCTTTCCTGGAACACTTTGGTGGCACATTACAGCTCCTGTTCTGCGCAAATGAGCAATGCAACAGTCATCTCTGCTAAATAAAATGTGGTCTGTCACCCACCCTACCCTGCCCCCACTCTCACAGGAAACCAAGGCATGGCCAAGAGTTTGTGACCTCTGAGAATTTGTGCTGCGCCTTCCTTAAGTTCAGATGTAAAACAAAAGGTCTCTCTTAAGCTGCCAAGAAATGTTGAAGGGTAATCCTTTCTGCTGACATTTGGAGGAAAGCTGGGTGGTATTCAGGAAAAACTGGAATTATCCACAGCTATGGTGGGCAGGAGAAAATTTGAAAATGGGCCAGAAAAAGTTCACATGTGAAATGTGCAGTTTCTACAGATTTTGTACATGGAGATGTCACAGGCAGCCCTGAGAACTTGAAGATTTATCCTGAGTAGTCTCTGCTCAGTAACAGCAGGCCAGCTACCCAATGATGAGTCCAGCCCCACACCACTGTAAAAACCTGTAGTGTCTTTAGCACATCTCTCCCTCCTGGATTTAGAAACCTCGTTCTAGGCAGAGGGAGGAGGCCCAAGTGGGGAGTTTGTCTCGAGAGGATACTCGTCATATCTGAAGACATTTGGGTTGTCACATTAAGGACTGATCATGTGCTAGTGCCATTTGGAGGCCAGGAGTGCTGTAAAGTGTGCTAGCAATGATATGGGTCTAAGATGGAGAGGACACATATCTGTAGCAACATCTTTGCCCCAATTTCATTACTACAATTTTGCCCCAATTTCAGCCAAGTGTGAGCCTGAGAACATTCACAACGCTTGCCTGCAAATCACCAGGCTGAGATTCATAGTTTTATTTTATTGGTATCCACTTAACTCTGTCATGGATTAATATATATAATATATTATATATATAAACACACATATATATACATATATATGTAGTTTATTTGGAATCTACTTTGAGATGGCTGCTGCTGCTGTAGTTTCTTACAATTAATGTGGTCTTGTCATAAATAAGGAGGTAATGTGGCTAGCTATCTGGCTAAACAATTAGTCTGGTTCATAGTTCCATTGGCTCCTCAAAACCCATGATGATAACTTTAGCCAGATTACTTGAAATAAGTAAATGGACTTTGAAACATACTGTTATTTTCAACATATTCTTAAAAGCAAATGTAATTAGGTTAATTGACCTTGAAAAGATCATCAAAATGTGCAGCATTTTGGTACAAGAACTGCCTGAGCTCAAGTCTAACTTCAGTACCCACTGGGCAAATCACTTAAATTTTCTAAGTTTTACTACACTTTCGAAACCAAGGATAATGACATCAAGTTTGCAAGATTATTAGAAACCAGAGATTATGTACACTAAGGATCTCACTAATGGATGCTCTATAAATTCTAGAAATTAATAGAGAAATGGCAATTTCTGTGTTTTTCAGTCTGACCTTTTAATTTACTTTTATTCCACTGAACAAAGCATTGCTCAATCAATGTTGTTTGTTTATAGATTGTTCAAATATCTCCCAGGCTGCCTCAACCTTCTCATGCATGAGCATCTATTAGCAAGTGTGTCATATTAAATGACTTGCCCCAAAGACTTGGAGCCTTGAGAGAAAGAAAACAAAATAAACAAACAAACAAAACCTGAGCTGCCTTATATGTCATCTTCTTTCTAGATATGGCCACACAGGATGTGTCATAAGTAACAGAAAAAAATCTAAAAGGCTTTCGGCATTTTCTGCAGAGGCAGCTCCTGACTTCCCTGTGTACTGACAGATAATGAATTAATGGAAGACAGTCTCAAGCCTTTCACCTATTCAGAATGGGCATTCCCCCAGGTCTCTAGATAAATGGTGATTTCTAAGACAGCCTGGAGACAGCTATAATAATTCACCCAGAAACCTAGAAGCCCTCAGCTAAAGAGATAACTTGGGATTTGAAGGCATAACTGACCTAGTACATATCTTGGGTCTTCTCAGAAGAGTAATAACAGCCTAGACAGAGGGGAAAGATCTGGCTTCATTCTGAAGCCTCAAATCCCTGACCTGAATATAGCAGCCATGAGAGGAATGACCTCAGGGAAGTCCCTTTTCCCATGTGAATGTTGGGTTTTCCATCATTAAAGTGGGAGGGAGGAGAGCTGCCTATCTCCATTAAAGGCTTGCTTGAGATACTAGAAGCACTTGGACAAATGCAGATGAAGGTTACTACTGTTATAACTGGTGCCATCCACCACAGCAAATCAGCCCTGCAAACCTCAGCTCATGGTAAACCTCCTTGTTAGGTTTCCATTTCATTTGGGGGGTGGGGATGGATGGACAAACTACTGACATCTTCAGAACTGAAAAATTTCTCATCTATGCTGTCTCCTCTCTCCTCCAATTATTAGCAAAGCAGGTGCCACCTGCCCCATGCCCACTTACAGCACAGGAATTAAATGCCTCACATTCACAAACCTGGCAGACCACATACTCTCTCTGGAGCAGCTTGAGGTTTCAAACTGCCCTTCACACTCCTGCCAGCAAAGATGCCAGGCAAATCAGGGCTTCCACGGTTGCAAAGCAAAAGACTCCAACTGAAAAAGATCTTTACCTAGGATTTTCCTCTCCTTGTTATGTTTTTATGCATAACTTCTTATCTCCACTTGATTATGCTGGAATAAGGCTATGAATATTAATGGATGGAATTTATAATTTAGTGCTGTGCCTTTTCTGCTGATTAATTCAAGGACATTTTATTTCTTGGGAAGCTAGGTTCCTGGAGTAGTCAAACACATTTTCCTGGACACTCGTTTTAACTTAGAATATTTATCTACCAACTCGGGTTGAAAGCAGGGTCTTAGGCTCGACATAATTTTTTGTCTTAAAGGATAACTACATTGGATGTTGAGGTGGCTACACTTAAATTGCTCAGGAAAAAGTATTTGGCTGAAGTAAAAGCCAGAACTCCTTGTAAATTAATGGGGTTGTATTAAATAATACATAATGTGATTATAGTCTAGCCTGGACTTCACCTGGGCATAAAATAAGAGCCTTTCCAGTTGATTTGTAGTGTGGCAAAAAGCTGGGATGGGGTGGGGTCAAAACTGGAATGGCAAGTCACGTTGCTCCACAGGCTAAGAGAAAAGCAAACCTTTTGGAATAAATTCCTCTGACTACACAGAGCAGAAACCAGAAAGTTCTAACTACCCAGGGTTTTCCCCAAGACCGAGATCTATTAATCTTCACTCAAATTCCTAAAGAAGCCTTCAATTTTGCCTTCATGGGAGATATGTGGAATGAAATATTCCTGTTGTGACAATCAAAAGTAACTCCCAAGAAAGAGGGGGAAGAAGAAAGGGGGGATTCACACAGATTTAAATGTATATACAATTAAAGGAGGAAAGAAAGTCAAAGAGGTAAGGAAGAAAGGCAGGAAGGTAAATTGAGAATGGGAAGAAGAAAATTTGAAAGAGAAAGGAAATGAGGAGGAAAACCCAGAGGAGGAGGAGGGAGAGGAGGGAGGGAGGAGGAGGGGAACCATCTAAAGGTGAGAGAATACCAACAAGAGTGCAACAATAAAAAGAATCAGAAAGGGAAAGTAAGAAAGCTTAGAAAGAATGAACAGAAGGAAGAGTTAAGGCAAAGCGAGACCACTGGAAACAAGAATAGAATAGGAATTGAAGAAAAATATGACAGAGAAGTAAGACAGACTAGATCTAAAGAGGATAGAGAAGAGGAGAGAGAAAACAAATAAAAACTGGAAAGATCAACAAAGGCCAAAGAGAAGAAACCACCAATCAAAGTTGCAGGCCTGACCAGAGGGTTTCCCAGTCTTTTCCACTGTGTGAGGAACAGTAGTTTTTTTTTTCATGCAGTAAATTTTTCGGCTAAGCCTTGATCCCACTCTCATCATGAGTTCTACTAGTTCCTGAGCTCAGAGATTTACTCTAAACCAACACATTGTTTGAAAGGAAACTGCTTACCTTAGAAAACTCTCTCTCAAATTTCTGTGAAAGGATGTGAGCTGTAAACTCTAAGCGCTCCACTCTGTCAGCAGGAAAGGTGGTGTCCGGCAGGGAAACAGAGCACTGGCAGGTCCCATGGCTGTCCACAGACCCAGTGAAATTGGAAAGTGACTGTAAGTAATAAAAGATGAGCATCAGTAATAAGCTGGGAAACAAACCTTTCAGGCATCAGGAATGACAGAAATTTGCTTGTCAAAAGAGTGATTGGAGGCAAACAAGTAGAGTCCAACATATCAATAAACAACATCACAGAGCAAGCCAAATCTCATCTCCACCCGTTTGTTAAGCCTCTATGTCAGCAGCTTGTACCAAAAAGAAGATTCTCCATGCTTGCGGAATCTTTCACTGCTGTCTCTGTGAAAGAAAGAGAAATAAAGAGGGGACACAAGAGACATTTAAAGGACTACTAAATTTGCACATCTGTTCTACTGTTTGCAGGATGTGACATCTCTAGTCCACTCCCTCCACTATGAAATTGAGACCCCCCCCCCAGACTGATGGGCCATCCTCTGGAGTAAGCAAGCAGTGTGAGCTAAGTCTCTGCAAACACACACACACACACACACACACACACACACACACACACACACACACGCAAACCCAAACACTTTTACTCCAATCCCAGCCCAGTTTCTCTCAATTATAATAAAGAAACCATGAAGGTTTGTGGACCATGGTAAAAGATATCCAGTGAGAATTCAACTCCTCTCTTCAGCTGGGAAATTATAAAATTCACATTTTTTTTTCAAATGGAAACAAGCCATCTATTTACTCAAAAAGCTGAGAAGTGTGTGAGTTTGTAGCTCACTCACAAATTTCTCAAATGGAAGTTCTCTAGCTTACCACTTGCAAAAAAAAAAAAAAGTCATTTTAAAATATTTGAAGTTTCTTTAAGATATTCAGGCTCACACTTCGATGCCACTGCATATTTTAAAATGACAGGTTTGAAAGATTCTGTTTTTCTTTTGTCCCCTTTGAACTACCCCAAGGGGATCCTAGCACAATTAACATTTTTCATTACTACTCTTGCCTTGCAGAGTGAGCCTTGTCAGCCAACTGGCTGTGCCTCTTAATGATCTCATCAGAAGGCCAGCCCAAAGCTCACCTATGGAGCATCAGCCTGAAGGGACTCTTTATAAAACTAAGGAGGAGAGGACGGTTTTCAGTCTGGAGAGATTCCAGTCATGCCTCAAAGTTCACCTCAGCTAGTGGTAGCTGAGTGTATCTGCTCCACACACAAGCTACCCCACTGATCTTCATGAACAAACTTGTTCTAGATGTTAGACACTCCTGAAATCGAGATTTAGCCCATCAGTGACTCATGGGCCGGAAGGCTCTTGCAATGGGTGGTGGCTGTGCTGGTTTTTAAAAGAACCAAAGCTTCTCTAAAATGATAAGAATGAAGTGTGTGTGTGTGTGTGTGTGTGTGTGTGTGTGTGTGTATCTCTATGTCTGTCTGTCTGTCTGTCTGTCTGTCTGTTTGTCTGTCTGCATGTGGAAGCCAGAGGACAACCCTGTTCATTCTGTAGGCAACATTTCCCTTTTTTTCATGAGACAGTCTCTCATTGGCCTGGGATTCACCAAGTAGGCCCAGCTGCTGGCAAGTGAGCCTCAGGAATCCTCACTCTGCCCACCCCACCCCCGCCCCAGGGCTGTGACAACAACCTCACACTACCACACCTGGCTTTTAAACTTGGGGTTCTGGGGACCAAGCTCAAGACCCTGTGTTTGCAATCACGTTACCTTTTACTGTGTTAACCTTACCAACCCTCTATTCCAGGAAAACTCTTGCCATTGACCTTTCTTGTAGAACCAGATCCCTCCATCACAGGGATAAGGGAGTAAGGAAGAGGAGCAAGTGTATGATGCACATGGAACAAGGGGTTAGAGTGGGGAGGGGGAGGGTCTTCGCAAAGAATGAATAACGACTGGAGAATACACACCAGGAGTCTGTCAGAGAGGGCGGATTCTCCTGGACTCAGGTCTGTCACTCCATCTAAAGATAGAGTCCAGCATAGGTATGCCAAGTCTCTTACAAGCTTTTAAAGAGATACCTTATTACAATAACTATCTAGCAAAGAGAAGATCTTGCATTGCATTGACAAGAGGAGGTTAATTAGCTTCACAAGACAGGGTGGACCATTGTTGGAGTTCTCTGAAAAGCTCTGTCAGCTCCGGAAACAGGAGACATCATCAAGCAGTCTCTAAGATAATCAACTAGGAACCACTAGCTAACAACTTTCAGTCCTGAAGTTCACCTGAAAGACACACAAATAATTATGAGCCTTGCTGACAGTCATTCCACTGACTTCTATTGAACATCTCTGTCCCAGGGCTGTGGACTCCATCCTGCTTATCATCAGCCCAGCGTGCTCGGCTGACATCAAAACGGTCCATAAGTTTGATCAGTGTTTCCCATTAGAGATATTTCTGCTCCTGGAATTCAAAGACAATGAAGCTAATGGTGATGAGTCTCTCTGCAGTGAATGCTTAAACTACATGAGTGAAATGTGGGAATTGGACACAAAGACAAGTGCTTGTCCTCTTGGCCTTTGAAAGGATGCATGATCCCCTTGTGGAGGGCAAGTAGAACCCTGTGTGCCCCACAAGAGTGACTGTACTACTAAGTTCGCACTTGGTATATATTCAGTTAATAGTTACTATGGTCTATAATACCCCATGCTCCGGAATTAAAAGCTGATTAAGACCAATTCCGGCCCAATCAAGCTCACTTTCATTCTGAATGCCCTAGGGACTTTTCCAACAGCTTCATACCCTGATGGCAAAGGCACACAGGCCATTGTGGTTCCAACGCTGCCAGTGACTGTGAGGAGCCTTCCCGACATCTGTGAGTGGAAGCGGCCACTTCTTCAGAGGCATGCACAGCTCAGAGGCATGCACAGCGTTGAGAGCCCTCCAGCAGACGGTGTGACTCACATTTGTGATTTAAGGTCGCAATTGGCTCTAATTAGCAGCCAAGTCTAAGTGCCCACAAAGATTCAGGACATAAAATAATGGCACTCTGCGTTTCAGAAGTACAGAAAATGATACGTTTGGAACTTGTTCAATGACAGTTATAAAAGGGTTTTCCACTACTTTCCAACAAGCTCATCAAGCTGACAGCCAGCCCTAGAAAATTAGGTTTATAGTGGAATTGACACCTGGTCCACTATAAAAAGGAGGCTGGAGCCTGACTCACTCACCCCAGGCAGATAAGCAAACAAGGAAGGAAATTGAAGCCTCTAAGTACAGTTTAACTACTGGTTCTTACCTACTTTTAAATATTTGCCTTCTTACTAGACAGTGGGCACTTTAAATTCCTCTGTCCCTTCACTGGTATTTTGTTTTCTATTATTTCAGTTGATGATGTTACATCGAAGTGCTGGATTTTGATTGGTCGTGAAGCTTTACAACAAATTATGATTGTTAACCACATCTTACAAAAAATAAAATAGCCCATTCTGTTTGTCCCCAGAAATTGTTTAGTACCCCGAGATAAGATTTTTTGGTTACTGAGAAGCCAGCATATAATTGCGAGTCTCTAAACTTGATCCCCTTTTATAGGCAATTTTCATCTGTGCCCTGGAAATACAGAAAGCTGCACACAGTGGGATGGTTTTCACAACAGAGTCCTTTGAAATGAGTTAAAACTTTAATGAAACAACTAATGTGCATGAATGGACTGATCTGGGGAGGTATAACTTCGCAGGTGACTCTAAGTCAATGATCCCTCACCATAGTAAGCTGCCGATTTACTCTAAAATGGGACCATTACCCTTACCTACCTCTTGGGGTTTAAATAAGATGCAGTATGTATTAACCTAGTCTTGGTACTCATCAGGCATGCACTGGGTATTATTGATGTCCTTGCCCTCTGGGCCCCATCCAAACCATTTGTTGATTACATTTTCATTGTCCTAGATTTTAGTGAAACTAAAGTAAATGCTCACTCAAAAGCCTCTCCCTCCACTTTTCCTATTCACCTTTCCACTCAGACAAGTTGATGAAAGTGACTGACTAGAAGACCTCTAAATGAAATGCCTAGGAATTCTAAAGGAGGCACTTTGGGGAGTTAGGAGCCCTCAAGCACAAGTCACCCTCAGCAAGGCCCACCTGGGAAGTTTTGCAGGGTAGGACTCCTGCAGAAAGGCCCAGAGGTAAAGTGGTCAACTGTTTCCTGTCCCGTGTCCTGCAGCTCCTTCATGCCTCTCTTTATGTTTTTAAAGGAAAGGCAAAGAGTTTTTACCCCCCAAAGAATTAGGCAAACCAAGCATTCTACATTGGAAGTGGAAGCCTCCTCAGGCCGATCCCTGTAGAACATGGACCCTTCGTTCGTTCATTTTACTACTGCGATTGTTTGTCACTGAAAATAGCCCCAGAAATTCCATATTTAAAAAAAATATTGAAAAGAGTTAGCATTCTCTTGGGAAATGTCCACACACAATGGTGTTTTCCTAAGATTAGCAATTCTTCCTCTTATAACCGATGTTCTGTGTGTATGTCTGTGTACATGTGTATGTACTTTGTACTTTGTATGTGTGTGTGTGTGTGTGTGTGTGTGTGTGTGTGTGTGTGGAGAGAGAGAGAGAGAGAGAGAGAGAGAATATATGTCTTTTTCTACTACTTTCCACTTAGTTTTTCTTGAGACCAGATTTATCACTGAATATGGAGCTCACCAATGTGCTAGAATGGTTGACAGGTAAGCCCAGGAATCCTCCTGTGTCTGCCTCCTTCAACCAGTGGTGGGGTTGCAACCACCTTACCTGGCTTTTTAGGCGGGTGCTAGAAACAATGACACTGGTCCTCATGCGAGTGTGGAAAGTGCTTTACTGACCATTCTATGTCCTCAGGCCCATTACCCATCTTCCTTATAAACTAGGTGCAGAGGAACTGGCAAGGCTCCAGACATTGCCTGGAGAGTCTCATTCACTCAGAGTGTGTTGTTTACGCCCAAAAGGCTACCTCTGAGCAACAAGTCAGTTGGATAAACTTTGCTGGAGTGGCAACTTGTGGTGTCTCTTTCCTGAATCTCTCATCCCAGACAGCATATTAGAATCAATTGGACCTCTTTAAAATGCTGAGTTGTAAATATATGCGCAGGGTAGAACCAAGGATTCTGGATTTTTAAGATTCTCCTCACCACTGATCCTACAGGTCACCCTGGGTTGAGAACCTCTTTAGAACATGCCTTTCCCCAAATACATTAGCTAGAAAACTGGGCTCTCCTGCTAACAATTTAATTACTTCATCCAGGTTTTAATTCATTTCCCAGGCATCACCAGTGAACAGAAAGATCATAAATCCTTTAAAGTGCCCATGTCTAGTCAACCATGAAATTGTATTCAGGTCCCCCAAAAAGTGAGCAGAAGGAAATTGAACAGAGCTCACCCAGACTCAGCAATTCCCTCACCTGAGACAGAGTACCACCTTCTGCCCAAGACGTGCTTCTCGGAGGCAACCAGGCATCTGTAGCCTGGGTTGCTATTGGAGTTGTGGTCAGTTCCAAAGAATGTGCAGTGGTCAGAGTTGTCAAAGCCCTGGATGCAGAGCCAAGGCAGAACAGAAGGGCCAGGGAGAAGAGAAGGCAGTAACTCATCTTGCCTTCTTAGCTGAGATGCTGGCTTCTTCCCAGGGCCCCAGGGCTTCTTATAGCCCCCAATGGGGATTTCCCCATGGCCTGTGTGAAGAAAGAGGAAGTACCCATGGGAACATGTGACCCGCCCTAGGAGGGTCGGGACACCTGCAACCTGAGTCCTATCCACACCTTGCCACCTGCCACCAAGCCCCACTCTGTGGCCTAATCTTAGATAAAGATTTCCCCCCAACAAATATTAACTCACATAAATTTCTTCAAGCCAATATCTGCTTTCTAAACAGATACTTCCTTGAAGGAGACAGAATCAAAGTAGCCTTTGTGGATAAGACAGAGTTTAGGGGCTCCTAGGGGGAAAAAAAGCAACCTTTGTCCTCCTGCCTAGAAGTGACTTCTGGGTGTTTGCTCCCATTTTTGTAGAATTCTACTTTCCACAGAGAGAGTGGTATAGGCTCACTTTAGAGACCACGACTCTCCACTAAGATGTCTGAAGGCTTTCCCTTCAGAACCTGCTGCCCCGGTCAGCTCTGACCTGCCCCTTGCCTTATATCCTTCTATACCAAGTTCTTTCAACAACCCCACCAAGACTTTGTTCTCTAGAAATCCACACAGAACTCTGTACTTTGTGCTTTTAAAGGAAAAGAAATAGCCCAACCGAACAAGGGACCCTGATGACCTGGTAATTATTCCTCTAGGTCAGGGTATTGCTCCCAACCAATGAAAGAAGCCCAACAGAAGGATTTCTCTGACCTCATTGCCACACACTCTGTGGGCTAGCCAGGTACTTAGGACTCACAGATCGCTTTTCACACTAGTGAAATTTGCTAACATGCACTCTATGTCACCCAGTTGACCTAGTCCTGAGCTTTAGGCTCTCTTTGCCTCTCTCTAACATTGTGCATACCTTTGTGACCTCAGCTTCCTTCTCTGCAGAGGGAAAAATGTATTGACCTTAATGTTAAAACCTAGCTCTGTCACTAAGGACTCGGTGGTCATGGGTATGTCATTTGGCCTCTCTATAGTTCTTGTAATCCCTAAATTATTAGGACTTGGTGAAATGGTATCTTGAAAGTTGCTTGGATGCTTTAAAGAACTATAAAAATGTCAAGGTTCTTCCAGTTTTGTGTGTCATTTCCAAAAGGTTATGGAGTTTGAAACAAGAAAAGCAGGCTGAGACTATCCTGTATCTCAGCCCATCCCAGGAACATTAGGAAGAGCCTGGTTTGTGGGGTTCTTTTGACCTCATAAACTCCATGAACTCTCCAAATCAACACAGTGCTAGTGTGAGGAGCCCAGTGCATGATTCATATCCTCAGAGGAAGAGGTAAGCAGAAAGAATACAAGCAGGAGATTGAAAAGAAGAGAGAAGAAATTTGGGGGAAAGAAAAATAAAAGCAAGTCTATGGGTTTATGTATTCCCAAAGTCCCCTTGGACTGTTTTTCCCTGACTTAGAGGGACTGAATGGATATAACTACCACTCAGATGAATATCCACAATTTCAGAATTCACAAGATCTCATCACCCAGATTTATGGTGCTGCCTTGACCACTACCCACCTTGAAGCACATTTGTCAAGTCATGTGAGAGTGTCTACTCAGGCCAATGTTATACCTGGTCCATGAAACATGGGATAGGAAGTAGCTAAAAGAGAGACCTAGGAAAGACAGGGACCCAATGCCAGAAACAATATCATCCACCTAACACCAATCCAAAGGAAATATGTGATGAAGTTCAAGGTCAAAGACAGTGGACCCAAGGCTAGCTGTTCAAAAAGTAAGAAATGTATTTTTAAGCTCATATGTCTCTTATCATTCCCTAAACACAGTTTCATGTTAAAACTTCAATAAGCAACAAATTAGTTTTAGCATCAGTAGGCCCTATGCATATTTGGGATATATTTATAATAAAATAAGTGCTGTCAGTTTAATATTCAAATTGAACTAGATGGCCTTTTTTTTCTTTCTGGGAACTCTCTATTGAAGCAGGATGTGGACTGTGAAATTCATTATTCCCTGTTGGACATCATTCAGCCTTGGCCCCTTTCACAAAATATTCTAGTCCCTTCAATGCTTAGCCCAAGACAGAGAAAGCATAGGACATTTGTGAGAAAGAAAACCAGTGTACTGACTCTATTATACTAAAATTGAACGTTATGAATACGGATGTACAGAAGAAATCATGCCTCTGCCTCCCATCTCTGGTCCCTTCTTCCTCCAGATTCCCACCAAAACAAAGGATAAAATCCACTCTCATTTTCTGGTAGTCCCTGTAACTCTAATTAGCCTTCCTTATCCTTGTTTTCAAAAAGGATATTGGGTTCCTTTTCAGGGGAAAAAAATCTCATTAACAATGGCTGTCTGTAGTCATGACTACCTTTGAAGGCTTCTGTGGTGAGTCCTCTAGAAGACCCCTTACCAGAGGGGTTGCAACCCACAGAACCTGGGCAGCAGTTCTCCCCAGCACAAGGGTGACTTAGCCAAGAGAAGCAGCTTCCTATTATGCTTAGAAGTTGCTTTGTTCCTGGATGCCTCCATGTTTTTCAACTATTTGGTAGCCCCAGATACACAAAAGAATCAGTGATGCCTCCACAATGAGATTATTAATAAAAATAGTTTGATGAGCTCTTCTGCAAACACCTCTGTTGTAAGAAACAACAAGCTTCTTGTTATTTGACAATCTCAAAAATATGAGAGAATTTTCAGGACCACAAAGCAAGCATTGTTTTATTTATAAAAATGTAGCACAATCTTGGATTCCCCTTATCACAAGGGGTCACTGAAGTTCACTTCACCAACACAGCATTCCTCATTGACAGCATGAAAGTTATTATTTATGCTCTTCTTGGGATACTCCCCAAAGCTGTTGTTTCTGAGCAGGTGCAACATATGAGGAAGTGATTTGAGTAAATATCACTTTAATTTAATCCTCCTATCATTAAAAATAAAATGCTAAACTCACTTTCACAGGCTTTCCAAAAGGAGCACCTGTAGAGTCTTCAGTGCACACAAAGACAACAGAGATAAGGTTATTCTACAGATTAACAATAGAAGCTGTGTTTAGGTGACCGTTTCCATGTGCGTTGTTTACATCCCTGGAAATAATCTAATCTTGTTAGGAATACCAACAACAAAGTGCAAAAGACAGAATTCACCCATTCTGAAAGGCAGCCTTTTGTTAATTAGTGCACTAGAGTTCAGTCCATGGAGATGCATACCCTATTGTGCATGCTAAAGGAAAAAAAAGCAGCTTAACCCCAGCTCTAGGGTAGGTGGAGACAGATGAAGTCTGGAGCTCACTGGTCGTCCCTCCTACTTGTAAAGTTTCAGGCCAGTGAGAGACCCTGCCTCAAAATAAGACCTGAGGAATGATACCATATGTAGATTGACCTCTAGTTTGCACATAGATGAACACACACAGGAAAGAGAGAAAGAGAGAAGAAGGAAGAAGAAAGAGAAGAAAAGAAAGGGAGGAAGGAGGAAAGAAATAGAAAGAGAAAGAAAGAAAAAAGAAAGAGAGAATGAGAGAAAGAGAGAAAGAGAGAAAGAGAGAAAGAGAGAAAGAGAGAAAGAAAGAAAGAAAGAAAGAAAGAAAGAAAGAAAGAAAGAAAG